AAAGGGGCTGTTATGAAAATTATACCCCATGACTGAGGTTGTATTTCTAGTTGTCTTAAAACTTTGAAATAGAACGCATTTACATTTACGTATTACAGTTATTGAATACAATATAAATTTGAATTGTAATTTTGATGGCTGTTTGGAAACATCGACTAGGCAGCCACATCCCAGCCTAGTCTTTATCAAAGTCCAACTGCCTCCTACCAAAATGCACACAGGAATTCAAATATGTGCAGCTAAGATTTCGTTGAAATCGTGAAATGGATGGTCGGAGATAATTTAAGTTAGCTATCTCTGCCTCCTACCAAAATGCACACAGGAATTCAAATCGGAATACGCATAATTAAGTATGTGGCCTAATTTTAAAAAAGAAAGGGACAAATTGGGAATAATATAATTATATGCAACAGCTACTCGAGTATTTTGGTATTTTATCTTTTATGGTACATATACAAATTTCATTTTGCAAAAATATAATCAATTTATCTGGTTCTAACTTTTCTTATCTTATTCTAAATATATTTAGCTGATGGTATTATACCAAAATAGTAAGGAAATACCAACTATTTAAAGGGACAAGGGGTTGACTTGAGTCTTGAATACATGTAAATAGTCTTCAGAAGTACTAGAAAAGTACGAAAACCGCAAATTTCTTTCAAAAATATCTCAAAGTGGGCAATTCTATTCCTATTTCTATATTATGTCTTTTCTATATAATATGGTAGTTCCTCAAGAAAAGACGACTCGTCTTTCAAACGCGGATAATTCTGAACACACATGGATTTGATGGCTCAAATTTCGACGGTGAGTTGTGCCATTTTTTTACCAATCGTACTTCAGTCTCAGAAACTGGAACTTTTTAGCAAAGTCAATCAGCAATAGTGTTCACAGCTGTTACACTGTTAGCCCTCAGTTCAAGTTCACAACCATACATTACTACCTTTAATGATCCAACAGGATAACTATTAGACTCATACCATCTGATTTGTCGGGCTTGTTTATACTTGAACTTATTTATTGTGATGTAAAGATGTTGGATTTGAAGTGTCTCAATATAATAGCTTATTTAATGTTACGTCCTGTCTTCATTTTAAAAGTGAAAGGAAATTGAAACCATGTAATGTAATGAATGTAAAGAAAGAAGCCGAAAATGATTCATAGATTATTTCTACGTCTAATACTCAGTAAATTGTAAGGGGTTTTTAATATTTTATTGAATTTGAAGGTCAATATCATTGTACATCATCGTATTTCCTGGGCAACCACAATCAGTAAACATACAGTTTAAAGGGGTGTTCCTTTTTTTTTTGTAAGAACTTTTCATTGTCAAATACTTAAATTATACCTGAAAATAGTTCTAAAGTATGCTGTTTATATCTTCTTAATAGTCTCTTTAAGTACATTATTCTCAATAATCCAAGGATCATGGCAGTAAAAACAGAAGGGGGTGTCAAAATTACTACAAAAGTTGATTTCAAGGATTCTGTTGGGGGAATTTTAAACGAAGCCTTATCACAAGAATTTTTATAATAGTACAAGGGGAGACTATCATAAATAAAAGTTACAGAACACTGTTAATGTAGGTGTGGCAAGCTATTAAGAAGTTTACTTCCATTTTGATACATTTACTGTCGCATACCTCTTGTAAAGTAACAGTTTTCTGGAATTTTCATTTTATTTGCACCATTCCAATTTTCAATCAGATATCTGTGGTTCTGGCGATTCCACTTAAACTGGGCTTTTATGACGTCGTACAGCATTAAGCATTTCTATATTATTACAGGAACCACAGATATCAGGCGGGAAATTGGAATCATAAATAAATACAGGACATGGCCTCGATACACGTGAAAATCCCTTTAATCGTTTTAATAGCAATGTGCGGAGGTGTAAAAGAGATATGAAAACTAAGACCAGCAATTGACTTCCTCGAATGACATTTCGACCCACTTTACATCCTGTATTATATTATATCCTTGTAGCTCCGATATCACAAGTCACTTTATACTCTCACTTGATATAGTCAGTCAAAACCATTCAGTGGTTAAAATAGGCATCGTTTTAATTTCTGTAAACGGATGTTCGTTGTCTTAACAAGGTAAGCTACAATTTGACTTTTCTATGTTGTATATAACTTGGGCGAAATGCAAGAAAGGCTTTTGGCCTAATTTCTTACCATAATAAAGTGATTATTATTATTATGTTTCATTACCTCGACTAGGGTTTACTGTTTGAGTTTCGACAGCCCTATAACCGGCACACATGTTCAGCTAAGCGTTACTGTTCAGCTATTTTTGACAAGGTGCCTACTATTCCTTAATATCAAACAATTCTATATGCTTTTAGATAAATAATGAACAACTGGTTGGTTGTCGTCCTATTTCTCGACACTTGGGTTTTTATTTACGGTAAGGATTAATTTCTTGTTTTTGAGAGGAACGGAAGTTTTAGGTTATCTGATTTGCTAAAACAGAAAATGAAAGTAGGAACTTGGTCTTCATACAAGCTATTACGAACTTCGTCTTGTACCTTGATTACAATAGTCACTTTTCTTGTATCACAAAATACAGTCCTTTGATATAAATACTGTCAACTTTATGGTTTATGGGACAGTGGCGTTTCTAGGAAACACAAAGCCGGACCAACCTGTTCCCCCGCCCCCCTATTTTTTAGAAACGCCACTTTTACAGGGCTCTGATTGGTTGTATCCTCTAATGTTCTATTCGACCAAATCGCTTCATTTACAAATTCTCTGTGATAGCAAACTGGTTGCTATTGCAATCCAGGTATAAGACGTAGTTCGTAATAGCTTGACATTGTGAAGATGAAACTTGGACTGTTTACCGCGATATCAACATGTAAAATAGACATATAATCTTTTACCTCAAATGTCGAAGAGAATATATTTGACGTTCTAAAAATCTTATCTTAATTTCAGCTCTGTATGTGGATGAAAAATGTTTTAGCACTTACCCTTGCCATTTTCATAGTTTGAAATGTAATGATGGAAATGTAAACAGGATAATAGCTATAAATGACGCCAAGTTTGGATTTAAAACAGAGCGTTGTGCCATAGAGGCTTGCGACTTCAGATGCTGTCGCCAAGAAGAAGGGGATTGTTTTGAGCCATTCAGTAAAGATATCCCACTTCAAAAACTTCTATATGACAGCTGCGAGTTTCAAGAGGAGTGCCGTCTGGACAAGCCACATCGTACGCGAGGATGTCAACAAGGATTGTCGACCTACTCCAGGATCGAGTACGAATGTCTTGAGGGTAAGAATTATAGATTTATTTCATAAGGTGCATAGGCTGATAGGGTTTTAAGGGATTAAACACCCAAACTCCCACACCTCGTAACAGAAGATATGAGTGCAACATTTGTTTGTTGTCGCTTTTAACCTTCGCGCAAGGTGTACGATCTGATCTTATCTTTCTGTTTTCTATAATATTCCTTCTTTTCCTCCATTGGTCTATTTGCAGAATAACTTGAAATATTTCCATTTCATGCCATTTCATTTATTCACTTGAAATCGATTTATCGATAAGTCACGGTTTGATTTGCAATCGATTTTTTTCGGGAATGTCTCAAGCACAAACTGAAAATGGTAAAGTATTTTTGTTTTAACCAAAGATTTTTAAATGGGCTGGAATCAAAAATGAATTTCCTATTTGAAATTTATGCTAAACCGGAAGTGACATATTGCATAATGTGCAAAAATTGATATGGAGCCTGTAGAGCTTATTTGTGGGTCGATCTACCAGGCTTTCTTTTTCATCTTTGTACAAGATATATCGAATGCAATAGAAAAATTCTAAAATTTTTATAGAAAAAAAAATGCATGAAAAATTCCAAAATGTTTTACCCAGGCACTAACTATCGGATCGATCTGAAAATAACAGGCTATAGACAGAATTCCAATAGAAGTTGAACTGCGTTATCAAAATTTTAAATTAACATTCGGTTTGGGCGTGAGAACGGTTTCTGCTGCTTCCGGTGTAATTTACAAACGTAGACAAGAGCCGTACAGATTATCTATAATAAATAATTTGAATCACTTCAGAAGAAAAACTTCATACCGGAATTGACGCATGCGCCTTTACCTGAGAGTGGCGCATTTTTGTTAAAATTTTCGCGATTTATTATTCGATTTGTCTATCAAAACCTTTTTACTTTATCTAAAACTTGCTTGGAACAGAATTTTGAATTTTGAATAAAATTTTTTCATGCTATCTATAGATATCCTGATATTAGATGTAAAACATCAACTTCCGTATATATAGCCCAAGAAATCTGACATTTTTGCAACTTTTGCAATACAGAATAAGTGAGCCCGAGAACAAATTAATGAGATAGTGTAATTTTTTAACCCTAAAAAATTTATTTATGTTTTTTTGCAAAATTGTTGCATACAAATTTGAAATATACCTCCATTTAAAGCTGTGACTTCGAAAGCTATTCAACTGTTGGATATTTTTTTGATATCTTAATTGGAATTCAAACTATATATGTCTAATATTTAATACAGGTACAGAAAAATATCTGTTATAAACCTAAGTTGGCAGACGATGCATATTGGAGATATTTCCTACCTAAGTAAAATGGATCAAATCCTTTAGCGTTCTTACTTTGTGGCTATATATTACCATGGATCAAGTACAATTTCTTTCAACTAAATTTGGAAATCCTTCATTATAAAGACTGTAGATAAAATATAGATCTTAATAAGCATCTGCTTCTCGTTTTGTTTATCCCAATCAGTATCCCAATCAGTATCCCAATCAGTATCCCAATCAGTACCCCAATCAGTATCCCAATCAGTATCCCAATCAGTATCCCAATCAGTACCCCAATCAGTATCCCAATCAGTATCCCAATCAGTACCCCCAATCAGTACCCCAATCAGTACCCCAATCAGTACCCCAATCAGTATCCCAATCAGTATCCCAATCAGTATCCCAATCAGTATCCCAATCAGTATCCCAATCAGTATCCCAATCAGTACCCCCAATCAGTATCCCAATCAGTACCCCAATCAGTATCCCAATCAGTATCCCAATCAGTATCCCAATCAGTATCCCAATCAGTATCCCAATCAGTACCCCAATCAGTATCCCAATCAGTATCCAAATCAGCATCCCAATCAGTATCCCAATCAGTATCCCAATCAGTATCCCAATCAGTATCCCAATCAGTACCCCAATCAGTACCCCAATCAGTATCCCAATCAGTACCTCAATCAGTATCCCAATCAGTATCCCAATCAGTATCCCAATCAGTACCCCAATCAGTACCCCAATCAGTATCCCAATCAGTATCCCAATCAGTATCCCAATCAGTATCCCAATCAGTATCCCAATCAGTATCCCAATCAGTACCCCAATCAGTACCCCAATCAGTACCCCAAACGGAAAAGAAAATAAGACACAATTCTTGTATCGAACCAGTTGGACTAACGGAAAAATATTAGTTCAAATGAGAATGAGCCCTCACGAGAATGATCCCAAACAGATAGACATAAGATTATAGACTTAAATTACCAATACTTTTGCAATAATTACAATGATTGCGATAATAATTCAAGGCTTTTCTTACTTTATCAAAATTTAAGAGTTTTAATTTCTTGTTCACAAATTGTAGACTGTTTTCAATGTCATAAAATTATTTCTTTAACATTTCCCTCGGTTGAATCTATGGCATTATGAAATTGGTGTCGCTTACACAGAGATAGCACACATATAAAATTACGCCAGCATTGAAAAATAGCAATAGTTTCATTTTGGATTTGGATTTTTAAGGTCAATAGAAATAAATTAGGTCACTTAAAATTACCAATAAAATAGACGTTATCGACCATAACAAGACGATATTGGGGTTTATACTGAATAATGATATATATAACTCTTCACCCGAATTCGTATGTTTGAGGCAGTTGAGCGTATTTTATTGTCCGATTACAACTACGAGTGTAATTATATACTTGGTTTTTTTACCAGATTTTCAATTTTGTGTGCACTAATTGGAGGCTTAAAAGCACCGGGGTTGAAAGCTAACAGGCTAGAAGTATCAAAAGGTCGAAAAGTCAAGTGTTCAGGTCTAGTTGCCACGCTCGGAGCTGTTTACAGTTCTTGTTTCTATTTTAAACGCCAAATTCAGACTCAGCACCTTCATATGGCATTTTTATATCACGAAAGTTTTCAAAATATAAGGAAACAAATATAGCACAATTGTTAACTTGCGGTTTACGGGTTGATGTTGTTGAATAACCAGAATAAGACTAAATTGCTTTCTCCATTTATGAATATATTTATCAGATTGATATTGTGAGGTAATTGTTTTTCCATAAATGTCAGTAGAGGCAAGAATCTTTGTTTTTTTAAACTTCATTTGATTATACAACTATTTAACTATTTTCAAATCGAAGCACACTGTCATTCAACATAAGGCCAACTGCAGTGTGATTCTCATTTTTATCCACAGAATCATCTATATTAACAACAACTGGATATTTAAAGCAGAAACAGGTGTCTGTGTTGTTCAGGGGATCTGACTCGACGTTTCCCGCCACTGGAATATCCTGTTCCATTCAAACCAACGGTATTCTAAGAGTTACCAATTATTACACGAAACTGGCAGATGGCGAATCAGAATATGCTCAAGCAAAACCCAAAACCAATTTCTTTAATAAAACCGACTGCACTACTGGGTATAAAATGTTTGTGCAAGCCAATGATGGGCCAATGTTTTTGTGCCACGAAGAAGGAGAATTTTTCTACACGGAACCGATAGATATTTCAGAGCCGATTGTAAATTTTAATGTAGTGATCAACCTGCTAGACAATGATGATGTTATTTGGCTTGGATTCTTTGCTCCTCAGGGTAAGCGTAGCTTTAGTTTTAGAAATAGCGAGTTGTTTGTACAATAAAAGAACAACACGATAGCCTAGTAGTTATTTTAGTCAGAAGTAGCCTAAAAAGATGGTAAGTCTAACTCCAGCACGATTCTTCAGCCCCCCCCCCCCTTCTTCTCTTTTTTTCGAAACAGATCGACTGTAACTAGATTTTTTTAAAATTACAGGGGATGATGGTGTTACCATTAATTGTAAGGTTTCAGACATGACTGTGGGTATCTTTACCCCAGGGATTACTCCTGCACCTACAACTACAGATTTGGAAGTAGCGACGATAGATGCTGAGAAAGAAGATGGCGAGTTACACGGGGATATAGAGGGTAAATAACTTTTAGAAGGAACCTACAATTTAACTTTTGCTCAAACTCGACCTAAAAGAGTGTCATAACAGAATGTTCTATTTGTAATCTGATAAATCTATAAAACCTTAGAACTGTAACTTATTAATTATTAAAGGTTTTTTCTAATGTTTAAGAACTTAGAGTATATATTCAGTGGATTACCTGGTGTAATATAGAACAGAATCCCTGTATAATCTAATAAATCCGTAAAAATATTAATTAGTCAAAAATACTAAAAAATTTTAGGGGTTTCTAAATTCTAAGAGGTGGTTGTTTTGTTTTGTTTTTTTAATTTTTATCTATAACAAATGTTTTTCCCATATTTGTTTTTACCCTCGATCAGTAATTATTTCAATTTCTTGTGGTAAATCATGTTATAAAATGTAAGCGCGCACCTTGCACATCAGTCAATTTAAACGATAGACTTTTTGGAAATGCATATCAGTATTCAAACTGTCTACGTGAAAGTTTCGCTAACACTATGCATCATACAGATTCAGCATTACGGAAACTGCCGATGATTGCCGAATGATCAATAATCTGGTTTGTGGTTATGGATTCATGTTATATATAATGCTTCTTTAGAATCTATTTTGTATATTTCTTTATTCAATATTTCAGGTGTTTATATAGGAATAGGAGTGGGTGTTGGTTTATTGGTAATCTGTATCCCGGTGGTATTGGTGCTCATTTTCAGGAGAAGGCTAGTATTGCTTTTGTTTAAATCCATTCTATGTCGCTACTTTAAGTCATTAGATGGATGGGCCACAAGCATAACAAACTAAACAAGTTTACGTAAGCCTCTCATATAGTTTTGGCGTGAACCAGTCTATCCTTAATAAAAACCGCCTCCGTGAAAGTTACGCTAGCGCTCTGCAACATATAACGGTAATGAATGACAGACATTTCTGTACCGGAACTATGTCAGTATTTTCACTTGTTGACGAAATTGTGGTAATTTAAATATCAGAGGCTGGTCGTTCAGGACTACATTATTTGTAAACAAAGACAATAAGAACAAATCTTCCTAAGATATGGATCCAAAATGATAATAAAATGTATTATTAGTAAACCGAGCCATAATACAATATTAAATGTATAATTTTGTGTTAGAATTTCCTCCCAAAGGCTATAAAGCTAGGAACTATATTCAGGTCGCAAAATTACTATCTCTTTACAAATAAATGTAAAATGCCGAAAGTAAAGAGTCTCGCCCAAGAAATTACGTCAACCATTAATAGAAATGGAAGTAAATGTTATTTGTCTGGTATAGAATTGTAATAATACAGTTCAGTTGTTCCAGTTAGTATACTGTTCTATGTATAAACTAATTATAGTTCTTAGAGAACACTCCGTGATACTTTACATCATCTTACGGACTGTATTTGTCATCTAGGTATTCATTTCTCGTTTATCTATTTCTTTTTAAACTGAGATTTACCACTTACAAGCCAACCTTATATAAGGTTTAGAGCAAAAATCATTTTTTAAAAAGTCTTAGTTTGGTTGAAAATATAAAAATGAATAATTAACCTGTTGTATCTTTCTGGTAACCATGGCAACGTACAGTTATATTCGACTTTTCCGAACAATATTGTGAAGACCAGATTCTGTAATTGAGAATGAGAATGATCTTTCAGATCTCTCTGGCAATATATAAATACAGATCTTACCATCAAGTTTTAGATATATAACTTCATTCTTTTCCAATTTCAGATCCTTTATTTCTTAACTAAACTCTGTACCGATACGTCCAATATCTTTATGAAACATCGTCACTCCAGATTTCGTACAGACCAGATCAAAATTTGGGAACGCTTTCGAATACATCTCTACTTGTGCACAAGATGAAGGACCAAGGTATATATAGAAACCTCTAGGTACAAAGCTTTAGCTTTGACAGTACAACTGTAGTTAATCTCTTTCCCAATGTAATCTTTACCAGTTATGTAAAATATTGGATATTTATTTGTACAATTTGTAGGAGAATCCTCTGTGAAATTGTAGATTCTAGTTGCTATAATAAAAATACAAACAAACCTTTTGTTATAAATAAAATTACAGACATTGTCGGAAGAAAGGGTGCAGAAAGGGTGCTCATATCCCAGACCATTATTGGTCTGTCAAACTAATCAGTGGTTTATCAGAAATCAATTGACATTTGGTGTTTCTGTTAATTCATACTAAGGATGATATTGGCTTGATTTGCTGTAAACATTTAGTCACAAAGTCACAGATCGTTATCTCAAAAGGAACAACAGACAATATAAACTTTTAAACGTTCGTGTGAGAGGTTCAGCCTACCTGGCTCACAAAATACCGGAATCTGTATCTTTATATTTCTTGATGGATTTACAGTTACATTACATCGTTTCTTTCCACTACAACTGTTATAGATGTTTAATTTATCTTCATAATTTACTCTAAAATTATGTTCCCCTTTGAATAAACAAGATGAATTTCCCTGTGCTGGAGTACATGATGTGTCATTAATTTGCTCGTAGAGTATTGTCGCACCAGTCCATTCTAATTTTATAATGTTGTCTCCGCAGCATTCTATCGAATGGGTTGTTTCAGCAGGACTGAAGCATTCACATATATTGCTATAGGAGTCAAAACAAACATCATCTGAAGCTGAAATTTTTAGAAATGAAATGAAACAGTGGCGTGGTGGCTACGGCGACGGGAAATGAGATCAGAGCGTCAGATAGCGTACGGTTGGCACCTTTATCGCCCATATTCTCCATTGAAATCGTCACAGAATCGAGAATCTCTTATACAAGCGTCATAACATCTCTATAAACGCAATAAAATTGAAGTAGGCCTACATCAAGCCCATAGATTTTATTAGAAACGCGCATAGGGAACGCTAAATGTTTGCATATGTCGCAGGTTGATAGCGACTGATGTTAATTTTAATTTGATTTTATCCTGCGTTTTCTTAACGTTTATCGGCGACCAAGCCGATGTAACGGTGTTATTCTCGAGGCACTTGCCTGCATGCGTCAATAAGTTCATCGTGGTGACCAGCAAATCTGCCGCAGCAATACCTCTGATTTGTATTACACAATGGAGGATAAATAAAAAAAAGTACGAACGATCCAAACCGCAAAACGTAATCCCAAATCAATCCCAAAAACATATTGGCGTATAGAACTTTGTGTGTTAATGATCTATCAGTTAAAGATGGGTTTCCTTATTTTTTAGTTTCAAATTAAGCAAACTATCTCATTAATTGGTGTTTCTGATGAATTATCATGTTTTCTTAATCATATCATATGTTCTCATTGCATATGATTAAGAGTTTCAACCAATCTTAAATTTCCATGTATGTACAGTCTAGATAAACAAAAAAAAATAATACATCAAGATGTTGGCCAATTGACAAACTTTTGCTTTATCGTTGGAAATTCTCTTGCAAAACTCAAAAGTTCTGCTGCACAGCGTACCAAAATCAAAGTCATTATTCGGATAAAAAGCTTCCAGCTTGGCCCTAGATGTTCTTTTTTTAATTTTAAACAGAAAAATCAGCAGAAAGCATGGGTGTTTTAATGTCTTGAAAAATGCCAGTTAGCTAAATTAGAAGAGAATTATCAGCAGAATTCCAATGAGTGACTAATCAAGAAAGGTCAAAAACTAATTTTAAATTTAAAAATTTATTATGAATTTAGCTTCCCAAATACGCTATTCAGTTGAGTCGCACAGACCGGAAATAAAATTGTCTAGAATGAAAGTACAGGAATGGAAAAAATGTCGTTATCTGCGCATGTTCAACTTTTGAAGACGGAAAGAAAAATATGATTCAACACTATTTTATTACATTTTGAATATCTAAAATCATAGTAAGAGAGGGGCGCTGCTGACAACTGTTTTTGGCGCCGCCTTGAAGAATTGGGTGCCACTTGATTGAAGTCCCCCCCCGGCCCCTATCATATGCCCCTCCCCAGCCTATGATAGATATTTTGACAGTTATTGGCTGGAGTAGAGGCAGAAAAACTTGGGGTATTTTGTTTATGAATATTTAAGAATAAAAGGTCATACCTTCAACTGTATACATCAATAGACCCAAAACACACCAAATTGTCACTAAATTCATTTGGAATAAATCTAATCCAATTGTTCTAAAACTCAATCTTGTTATATTTAAATATGTTGTTCTTCCTCCACATTTCGTCATAAATCTGACTGGTGAATTTTCTAGAGACTTTTATCAATACAAATTGAATTGATATGCACATCACATTAAAATATCTCAAAAGTGAAAGGAAATCGAAAGCATATGATATAATGAATGAAAGAAGCGGAAAATGAAAGAAGCTGATTTATACACGTTTAATTCTCTGTGATTGTAAGGGGTTGGTTATTGACATTACACGATATTTCTTGGAGTTATTTTTCATCCGATACGTCATTTCCGGATTGGAACAATTCATAGACCTAATTCACGCCTTATCACACAACATTGTCCCTTGCAGGTAAAAGCTATGCAAGCTAGAAAATTGCAGGTAAAAGCTATGAAAGCTAGAAATTTGGATGAACTTGTTACCCAGCTCCCGACTCCCTACTTTAAAGGGACATATTTGCCAACAGTTTGACCAATCGTGCTTCAGTATCAGAAACGGGAATTGTTTTGATTGGATTGTACTTAAGCAAATATTGCCAATCAGAGTCTAACAGCCCACCGTGTAAATTTGAGCTTTCAAATTCATAAGTGTCCAGAACAGCCATGTCTGACAGTTAAAACGACGACTCGTCTTTTCTTGAAACTCCGCCATATACATATAGAATAGACAATTATGGAAAAAAGAACTAGCATCCCCGTTTGAGATATATTTGAGGGGATAATGATATTTTCGTGTAGTTCTAGTACCTCTTAAGACTATTTACATATATTTGAGATCCAAATCAACACCCGAACCTTGGCCTTTGAGAGATTTCAATGGTCACCATTCTTTCTGAGGTTTCCCGATGGTTGTAGCAGAGGAAATGTAACAGCTGACTTTTGTCATGATTTTGTATCCCCAAGTAAAAATCACCAACCCGTTTCTGTTAAAAAACAAACTTGTTCCAGATTTATCAAAAAAAAAACATTTCTGGGATAACCAAGGCGATCTCTGCCACAGTGATTAATATCCTGTTATCCGACAGTAGATAGGTCACAAAGCAGGAGCTCCCAAAAGCGTATTTTGTATCTTTAATCTCAAGATTATCTAGATGTGGCAAATGGAATAGAAAAGGAGTAACATCCAAATACGTTGAGACCATGTCCTAATTTCAATGCTTAAAACTTTTCAACCAACCCCAGTAAATCCCGCTAGAACAATAGGATGACGTCACCAGAGGTTTATAAGTGTCGCTCACGTCTTGGATATACTCACATTACCAACTGTTATCTGTTCAAGCTAGGACTCCAACCAGTCTTTGAGCACTGCCTGGTTGGCCTGATAGAGGAACACATTCTGATTGAGTGTAAGCATCTCAAGCTAGATCAATGTGTCAGCTAATTGAACAATCTTGTATTTATAGGCAAATATTTATTTTGAAATTAAAATATCTTGTTATAAATTCTTTGGAAATTTAAGCCATTGTTTGTTTTGAATTTGACCTGTATGGGCGTTGACTGGCCTATTTCATGTTATGACAATATGGAATTATTATATGTGGGTTCCTTTCCTTCAGTTTAAAGTTGATTTTATGTCCTTTTCTTAATGTTTTGACAGCCCTTCAAACATGTCATGTAAACTGGATATTTCAAACCTTCAACATAAGATTTAAAAAGATGAAT